TGCCTGCTTTATTGGTCCTCTCCAAATGCACACTTTGTGCGTGCTGTCGCTTCCTCTGCAATCTTCCACGCCTCCTCCTCCCCATCTTTTTTTTTTTTCTCTCTGCGAACCAAAAAAAAAAAAAAGGTGTCCGTAGTTATTTTTGTGTGCTACCTGTGTTTTTTTTTGTTTCTCGGAACAAATAGGGCACACTGTCTTAAGGAATGAGAAAGGCGGGTGGCAACAGGGGTAACGAGCGTCAGGGACGCGGACAGGGCCAGCAGGGATCACCCATGGCGCCCCCGGCTCCCTCGATGGGCTACCAGCAGCAGCAGCAGCAGCAGCAGCAGCACCACCAGTACCATCATCATCATCATCACAATAGCAGCTACAACAACGTCTACGACGGTTCCCGACCTCCACCGCATGGAATGCAGCCGATGCCTCCGCATGGTTTCGGCCCAGGTGGTGGTGGTGGTGGCGGTGTTGTTTCTGCCGGTGGTAACGGCTGGAATACTCCGCAGCATCAACACCAGCAACAAATGCCAATGTATAACCAAGGTTATGGCCATATGGGCCCTGGGGCTGGTGGGGGCGGTGGTGGCGGCTACGGGGACATGGGAGGCATTTATCAAGATGTGCACCCGGGACAGTACCCTCCCTCCTCTTCGCCGTCACACATGGGTGGTGGAGCAGGCATGCCTTATATGCGTAACTCACCCATGCATGGTAATGTTCCTCCTGCTGTGCCGCTCCCAGGCGCCTACGGCGGCCTCCCAGGTCAGGGTGCCCCACTGCCTCCCATGGGTTACGGTCGAGGTGGTCATCCCCCAATGGATCCAATGCAGCAGGGTGGTATGTACGGGGGGCCAATGATGCGCCATGACGGGTATCAGGACAACCTTCTCAGCCCACCACCGCAAGTGGGATATGGTCCTAATGTAGGGGCGCCGCCGCCACCACCGCCTGGGCCTCCGTATGGTGGAGGCAACCCCATGTCTGTTGCTCGCTCTTCTGGTGGAGTTGTGGCTGCTCCCGGCGCGTACCCTGATCCTCGTAGCAAGGGTATGATGAACACGCCAATGCCAATTTCTGCTGCTGCTCGACACCCTCGCGTAGGAACTCCGGAACCTGGTATGATAGGTGGTGGTATTCCACTAGGTCGTTTTAATCAACAGCCTGCTTTGGTTCCCCCCAGCATGGTACCGCCTGCAAACTACATGCCAGGGACAAATGTGCCACCCGCACAACCGCCGATAATGCCCACACCCATGAACCCGGTTGATCCCTCCAATGTAGAGCGGTGTAGTTTGGTTGGCCCGGCTGAAAACCTTTACGATTTCCTTTACGAACATGATTTGGTTTCCGTCGACACCCTCTCCAGCTTTTTCCCTGACGGGTACGATCCGAAAAAAGATCCGCCGCTAAAAATCGCCGTCGATGGTAACTTTTGCCTCAACAGCCTTCGTGACGAGCTACGGAAGCGCGATCCGTTGTGGTTTTTGCACTCCACGCTTCCGGAGGAACTGCTTGACGCCGTGTCTCGTCACGTGGAATGGATGCGAAGTTTAAATCTGGAGCCCATTTGGGTCTTCAACGGACTCAGCGTGAGTGGCGATGTAGAAACCTTTTTAACCTCTGAGGGGGAGCTGCGGGCCCGCGATCTTGTGTGGGGTAGGCTCGAGGAGGGTGAAATTCCCGACGAGGCGGACATCCAAACCGCGTTTGATCAGCCGCTGGGCGAGGATGTCCAGATGGCCGTCTCCCGCCACCTTAAGAAGGAGTTAAACGTGATGGCCGTCACCGCCCCGTTTCTCAACTGGGCCCAGATGGTCGCCTTCCACAAGGAGGGTCTTGCCGACCTACTGATGGGGCCTCCCGAGCTGCTGCTGCTTCCCTACGACAAGATGAAACTTATTGTGCAAATCGACGTTTCCAACAGCAATGTGTCTCACTTTGACCGGGATAAGGTTCTGCGCGCCTTGTTTCCTTTCCATGTCACGGAAACCTCTACAAAGGACGCCGGGGATAGGCTCATGGACCTTGGTTTAATTACCGCCACGCATCCTGCGCTCTCCTCCACTAGCGTAGGCCTCAACCTCACCATGGAGGAGGTGTACGAGGAACTCTCCAGTGAGACGCCCAAGTATCGCTCCATCAAAGATTTTATTAACGCGTACGCCTTTGTGCAGGATGCAAACAAGAAGAAGGCTGGTCTCATCATCAAGCATTCCAAGGGGCGAGGTTATCTTCGTTACAGTGGGGTTTTCTCCTCAAAATTGAATGACTCCCCGTTGGTGTACCTCATTCGCGTCCTTGAGCCAGGACTGACAAATGACGATATGCCGGCGAATCTTATTGGGGTTTTGGGGAACTTCGTACCACTATCTCTGTTTTACTTGCAATTTGTGGGACTACTTTCGGTGCGTATCATGACGGTCGTCACGCAGTCCTACATTCGCGACGAGTGCCCGGTCTCCGACACCAAGGACTACCATGAGAAGTTGGATGTGCTGATGACGATGCGGAGTCAGATCATTGCCCAGGTCTTCAAGAAGATTGCGAAGGACAAGCACCCCAAAAACACGGAGTGCCTGTCGTGGGTTCGCTGGTTTAAGCCTATTCTGGCGCCCATGCAGCGACCAAGGGATCTTATCAACCTGGATGAGTGGGAGGTCTCAAGTAGTGAGGAGTTGCAGCAGCTGGACGAGGAACACTTTGAGCGGTATAGCATTGCCTCCGTGCTCACCTTCAGCGCCGAGGCCGCACGACCGATACGGGAACCAAGTAACTGCTCTCCGCGTAGGGCGCCGATACGTTATCACGGCAAGAGGGAAACCTTCTTTGCGGTGCTTCTTAAGGCCTTTGATTTTCTTGGCTACTTTTCCCACTCCACGGCCTCACCGGAGGCCGTGGAGGAGGGGGAGATGATGGTGATGGGCGAGGAAGAGGGGATGGCGGCGATGGGGCGGATGGGCAACGCGGAGGCGGCGCCCATGCTGGTCCAGGATAGCAACAGCAACAACTACCACGACCTCCCCGACGCCCTGCCCGAGGACGGCGTCACCGAGTACCCCACAGTCTACTTCCCCACCTACTTGATGAACGCCATTAAAAACAACCCGCGTTCCTTTCAAAATGCGTTTGTCGTGTTAACAGAAATTCTTCGCGTTGGAATTATTGGTAGTTTGCCGTGTCGATACATTGACCCCGCAGACCCGCAGCTAGCAATTTCAATGGAGAACCAGGAATCTAACTGTGACCCTCGTGTGCTACTGGCCTCGCGCATTGGTTGCCTCATTTCTGTGCCGTACCGCCGGGAAACTGAGGATTTGCCGTTTATTTGGGCCCCAGTCTACAGCCGACACCTCTGCGCGTTTACGGTGATGGTTCGAGCCATGTGCCGCTGCCTGCGCGAGCTGGTGGAGGTGATTGCCACAACCGTGTTCCTGGCCGGGAACAGCAGCTGTAGTTTGCTCGACTTTGCCTCCTATTCCTTTCTCTTGCCGTTTGGGGAGATGCCCTCGGCGATTGGGGGGCTCCTGCTGCACTACGTGCTCGTCTTCCCCTCCGACTACCAGGTTAGCCTGACGACGCGGCAGGAGCGGCTGGAGTACCTGCAGGAGAAGTTCCGCGACATTCCCGACCTGCCCAAGCACCTGCGCGTGGTGATGACCTTCACGCTGCAGGCCCTCTACCTGATCAACGCCTACAAAGTCAGCGACAAGGGGACGGTGGTGCCGCAGCACCTGCTCGAGGACAACACGGTGGAGTGCACAATCCAGCTGCTGTGGGAGAAGTGGCGCGAGCACATCGACGACAACCCGCCGCAGGACATCCACGGCCTCTACAGTGAGACGATGGCGGGGATGGAGCGGGGCCCGCTCGGCGGCTGAGCGAGGGCGGGCGGACAAACGCACAAGAGAGCGACAGCAGCAGCAGCAGCAGCGGCAGAGGCGGCGGCGGTGATGGCGGGGGGGAAACGAGAAGCACAGCAACCAGGCAAAACACACCGACACAAAACAAGAAAAGAACGAAGGAGACCACCAGCGGCACAAAAGAGCGAGAAGCGTGCGGAAGGAGGGGATGGGTGGGGTGCGGGCGAGAAGCGGGAGAGAGGGCGTGGGGGAAATGCAGCGGCTCGCCGTGGAGCGGAGGACCCGCGCGCCTCCGCCCCAATAGGCGGTTTTTGTTTTTGTTTTTGTTTTCTCTGTTTCTCTTTTGCAGAGGACAGAGAAGCAAAAGCAAAGGGGTGCTGAGGGGAAAAGCGGGGGGGGGGGGGGTTGAGCGATAAACCAACGAAAAACAAAACAAACCCCCCCCCTCCTCCTCCTCTTCCTCCAAAAGAAAAAAAAAGAAAAACCGGGCGGCAGTTGTGATGGGCGGGGCGGGGGGAGGGCGCTCAACAAAAGTTGCGGCGCGCAGCCAATTCTCTCGTCCCCCCTTTCCCCCGCAGCGGCGCGGCAGCCAACTAGCAGCAGCAGCAGCAGCAGCGATGCTGGCCAAGGCAGCCAATGAAAAGAACCCTACCCAGACATATATATATATATATATATGCGCACACACACATGCATGCATGCCTCACTCTCCTCTATGCGTGTGTGTGTATGTAATGGCGTGTAATTGCGTTGATGCACGCATACGCCTCACCCGGTACATTTTTTCACCTTTATAAATAATTACATGAATTATACACACGTGAGTGTTGTGGGTTCCACGCGGCGGATGCAGGCAACTCGGGCGGGGGGAAAAAAAAGAAATAAGGCGACAGGCGACGACGGCGGAAAACAACTCAGTAGGATAAAGAGATATGTACTGCAGCACATATTTTATAACACACGATAAAAGAAGAAGAAAAAAAAAACGAAAAAAACGACAAAAAAAAAGAAAGAACTTGGAGTCTGCGGGTGGGGAGTGGGGAGGGAGGAAATAAAATGAAATAACACAAAAAAGAGGGGGAAAAAGTGGGTTGCGGAAGCCGTGTTGGTGGTAGGAGTAGTAGCACAAACAATAATGGAACGATGGTGAGAACTGTATGACGGGTCTGTGCGGGTGAAATGCGCATGCGCATCCAACCGATGCATGTGCAGCGGTGGCACGACGTACGACGGGGGGGGGGGGTGCTGCCTGTCGATGTGTGCGGCGATGCACGCGTGCAGTAATACATATATATATATATATATATGTATATGTGTAGCTGAATATGCCTTTGCGTACTTAACGGTTGTACGTGCACCCGCACACACACACACACACAAAGTGTCCTGCACATGTTGCGTGTGCGGTGTGCGGTGGTGGCGGCTTCTTTTCCCGGACCTCGCAAGTCCCGCCCGACGATGCAGAGGAAACAACAACAACGAAAAGAAGAGAGAGTGAGAGAGAGAGGGGGAGGTGCAACAACAACAACATAAACAGACACGCCAAGAAGGAAAAAGGGAGGGCAAGATGATAAGAACAACGAACGAAGAAAAGAAAAAACAAAAGCGAAAAAGAAACAAAAACAAGGAAAGTAAAAGGGGGAATAAAGAGTGCCCTTCCCCGTCTCGCTCTCGCTCTGACTTTCACCCTCCCTCCCTCCCATTTCTTAATGCCCCCCTCCCTCCCTCCCTCCCCTCCCTCTGCGTGCGTGCGTGCGTGCGTGCATTGCAACATTCGCTACGAAACCAAACAACCCTCCCCGTCCCCAAACAAAAGCAGTGAAAAGAAGAAGAATAGAGGGAGAGTGTGGTAAAAAAAGGGGGAAAAAAGAAACGACAGAAAAGGGGGGGGGGAAAAAAAAGAGGGAAGTAAATAAAATCCAAGGAACACACACGCACACAGGAGTAAAGCAAAAAAAAAAAACCCGAGGGATAAAAACAAAGGAAGAAACCACAAAAAAAAAGAAGAAGATTGGGGGCGGGGGGAAGGGGCATGCATGTGTATTTGTGTGTGTCTGTGGGAGTTGTCTGAGAAGGAACGTAAAAAAAAAAAGAGAAAGACAAAATAAAGCAAGGAGGAGGAGGATGAGGAGGAGGAGAAGGAGGGGGTCCTGCCATTTATCAGTTGTTATCTCTCTCCCTCATATATATATATATATATATAACACCATCTTCCTCCCCCCTGCAGTTATACACTCAGAGGCGCATATATAAATATCTATATATATATACATATACATACATGCATGGCGTGTGTGCGTGGGTCTGCCTCCCTGTGCATGTAAATAGCTGTGCGTGGAGACCGCTGCTACTGACGGATGGTTCGTGAAAAAAAAGAGGGAGAGAGAGACGCCCCCACCCCCCACCCCGCTCCACCCCCCCGCACAAACACACACGCACGAAGGAAAAGAAAGACGGGGAAGCGCAGCGAGTCAAAGGGCTCCAGAGGCAGCAGCAGCGGCAGCGGGGGAAAAACTACAAGAAAACTTTCTCCTTTAGCAAAAGGGAGAGAGAAAACAAAAAAAAAGAATACAAGAGTGACGTGGAGGACTTAAAGTGAGAAACGAAATCAATGACGGAAGAATGCTGACAAAAGAGGAGAAGCATGAGTTAAGCCTAAAGAGCACCACCAACCGAAGACACTGGAAAAAAAAAAGGAAATAACGGAAAAAGACTAAATGAAACAAACTCCAAAGAGGTGGTGCGTGAGAAGGGAGAGAAAGAGAGGCGAAAAAAGAAAAAGAAGCGTATGGCGCGAAGGAAAGAAAAATAAGAGTGGACGAGCGAAGGAGAGGAGGAGCGCGCAAGAGGGGTAGAACCCAAAGGGAGAAAAAGTTTCTCCTTCACCGTAACTTGGTAGCTCAGGAAGGAGAGTGAGTGAGGCGGGTAAGAGCTGACGTGTGTGATGTATGCTTCTATCCACGTGCGTGCCACGAGGCCGCATGCACACACGCATACACAGCTATGTGTGTGGGGTGCCTACACGTGTGTGTGTGTGTGTGTGCTTAGGTTTCTCAACAGTAAGCAGCGTTTCTTCCTGTACTTGCGGTCATACCCATTTTCTTTCTGAGTGGAAAGGGAAGGAGGTGGCGGTCAACAAAATGGAGAACGAGGGCGCAAAAAAACAACAACAACAAACGGAGAAAATAGAGAGAAAGAGGGAAAGAGTGAGTGGGGCATTTTAAAAGGAGCGGAAGCAAACATGACACACGCACACAGACGCAGAAGAAGAGGAGCAGAGGAGGGAGAAGGGTGGCTGTCTCTCTTTTTCTTTCTTTCCCTCTCTCTCTGTGCGTGCGTGTGCACGGACAAAACAACAGCGTGGAGTGCAAGACAGCCGAGGGAGCAAACAAACAGGGGGGCAGACGAGGAAGGCACGGGGCTCTGAGGTGAGACTTGACCACCATAAGCTCCACGGGAGTGGGGCACCCACCTGCGAGGCCCGCCGCCCCTCCCTCCCCCCACCCACCCACTCGAAGCGGGGATGCCAGTGTGCATAAACAACAATCGGTGAAAAAATGGAGCGGGTTACATTGAGACGAGGGATGAAAACAAAACAAAAACAAAAGGTGAGGCTCGTGTCCCGTTGACATCAGCTTAGGCTGCAGTTGCTAGTCGCCAATGACGCCCTTTTTTCGGCACTGTTGGCCTCCTTTGTTTGTTTGTTTGTTGTTTGCTTGTTTGTTTGCCTTTTGCTCTCCACCACCGTGCCTGGGTGCGTGTCTTGCGGGACTGCGCTGGAGAAGTGGCAGGGGGCGACGTGCTGCGATGACGCCGATGGGCTGGGCGGAGGGAGTCCAGTCCCGACGGAGTTTCTTTCCAAAACCAACGGCGGCGACCGAGGCGAGGGCGCGCGGGGGAAGTGGAAGCAGAGACACACACACACACACAGGCAACGCGGAAGAAGACGTCTTGTTTTGCCGCTGCATTCCGCCGCCGCCACCACTCCGTTTTTGTTTGTTTGTTTGTTTGTTTTTATTGTTTTTGTCTTATTGTTCGGCTGCCGTGTGTTTTTTCTTTTCTCTTTTTTTCTTCCATCCCTCCGTTTTTCTCCCGCTTCTACTCTCCTACTCTCTCTTTTTCTTTTCCTGGGCGAAGCATCGCCACGGCGTTTCGACGCAGTGGCCCTGCTGGTGCCTCATGCGCTGTGTTGCTGCTATTCATTTTTTCTTTTTCTTTTTCTCTCTCGCTTCGAGTTCTTCCACCCAAACAAAAGCAGTAAATGCCATGTTTCGTTCACGGTGCCTTTTGACACGCTTTCTTTCTTTCTTTGTCTGCCCATGCTTGTCGATGCATTAGCCCCGTTCCTCCTCTCTGCGCATTGCGTGCCCGCGTGGGACTCGCCTCTTCTCTCAGCTGCTCGCGGCTGTCTGCACCCTTAATCCCTCATGACACTTTCCCTCGTCTCCTCCTCCTCTTTCCTTTTCCTCGGCTTTTGCAGGGATGCATATAAGGGGCGCGCGTCCGCTTTCTTCGTCGCCCCGGCGCACGCATGCACGCGCTTGGCGGCACCGGCGTACGGGCGTGCTGTTCCTGCATGCATCGATAGCGAGGGAAGTGGCGTCTGCGCAGCGGGGGGGGGGGAGGGGCCCTTCCAACAGGCATACACGAGGAGCCACTACGAAGTACCGAGTTGGCGGCAGCGCGACCGCCCCACACGCGCAACGTGGGCCGTCACGCCAGCAACTCTGACAGCAGCAGCAGTGGCGGTGGTAATTGGTAGCTGTTTTTGCTGCGGGACCCGCGAGGGAGGAGGCGCGCTGCAGCGCATTTTCTCTCCCATTTGTGTCTATCGTGCATCTGTGCACGTGCCTCTCTCTCTCTCTCACACACACATACGCACTTCATCTTTCTCTTTCCTTTGCATTCCCCCTTGTTTTTTTTTTATAGCATGCGTGTGTATCGGATGCTACCACTGCGGCTACGTGACATCTTTGCCTCCACTTTCTTCCTTTTTTTCTCTTTTATTTTTGTTTTTATTTAGTTTTTTATTTCTCACCTTTTAGCTCTTCTCAACTGTGGACACTACACTTGAACACACACACCCACACTCACACTCACACAAACACACACAGACGCGCGCGCACTAGAGGCGCGAAAAAAGCGCTAGACAAGGCACGGGGAAACTTACGAAGGCAACGGCAGTAGATCGGCACACTGGGTGCGAGCGAAAATTAGAAACGAACACGAACCGGGTCACGGAAGCGAGCGGGGATGGAGGCGTCAAGTTCCTCCGAGCCACAGCCACCGGCCCCTACTGGCACTGAGTGCGAGGGAGGCGGCGACGGTGCTGGGGGAAGCGACGCCGTGGCGTGTCCACACGGGGGCGGGACCGCTGAGCCATTGAGCTACACCGTGGACTGGGAGGACGTTGTCGGTGAGGGAGACTTTGGTGTCATCTACCGCGGCAGACATGTCGGAGACGGCATGGCGGTAGGTGTCTTGACGCTTAAGGGGGGCTTGGAGAGGCGGGACGAGCTTCGCAAGGAGGCCGCGAAGGGCCTCGCGTTGCTGCTGCAACGGTGGCCAGACAAGATTCAACCGCTCGGAACCTTCGACACCAGTGAGAAGGGGCTTTTGACGGTCATGTCTGTCCTACAGCTGCGGGGCGTAGAAGACATGCGTCGCTTCTTTGCACCCAACGCAGCAGAGACAGGGGCGCCGGAGCAGCAATCTGGCTCCATTGATTGCGCCGCCACGGAGACGACCTGTCCGCGTTTCACCGAGGAGGATGAGTGGAAAGGGGAAAGGGAAGCAGCAGCAGCTGCAGCATCAGCAGCAGCAACGGCGGGAGGGGGAGGGGAGGTTGAGGCTGGCCACACCGAGGACGCACGGGCGGGTGCTGACGAGCGGCCGCAGCCGCCACCTTCAGTCCCGGCGCCGGTGTCGAACCCGAAAGGGCGCGTCTGTTTTCTTGGCGACTACGTGGTGGATCTGGGGACGGTCTTGGGCAAGGGGAAGTTTGGAACCGTCTACCGCGGCTGGCATCGGGCGGAGGGCAGCGAGGTGGCTGTGAAGCTACTTAAAGGGCCAGTAAGCAAGCGCGCGAAGATGTCGATTGAACAGAGGGAGCTAAGTCGCCTGCAGAAGCTGAGCCACCCAAACATTCTTCGTATGTTTGGCGCATTTCGACAAGAGTCGAAGAGTAAGCCTGAGCTGACACTGGCACTCGTTTTAGAGCTCTGCCACGGGGGAGACCTGAAGGAGTTTCTCGCACGGCATGATCCACTTTCGGAGCGGCAGGCGAAGCACGTCATGCGGCAGCTTGTGGATTTTTTTGTTTTCTTAAAAGCAATCGCATGATGCACCGTGACCTAAAGCCGGCCAATATTCTTCTGACTTCCAGCAATATTGACGAGGCTGTGGTGAAGGTGGCTGACTGGGGCATGGCAAAGCAAACGCCGGCGCTTGGCAGGGGCCCGTGCGATCCAACCGCAGATGTAATGTTTGAATCTGCTGTGGGGACGGTAGCCTACATGTCGCCCGAGCGGCTCTCGCGTGAACTGTACGACTACCAGGCGGAGGTATGGGCGCTTGGGGTCATCATGTATGAATTGCTTTTTGCCAGGCACCCCTACCTGCACTCCGCCTCCTCGGTTCGCACGCCGGACCAGCTGTTGAAGGCCATTACTCGTGCGGAGGAGGTGGAGATGTCGTGCAACGTCCTCCGTTCCGACACGAAGCGACAGGGCGGGGGTGTGCTCAACCAAACTCCGTTGGGGGTTGGCCCGCTTTCGCGTGAGTGCTACGAGCTCTTGCGGCACATTTTGGATCCAGACTCGAAGACGCGCTACACGATCGAACAGGTGCGAGCCCACCCGTGGATTTCCCAGCCGGAAGCGATGCGGGCAACGGAGGTGGTGCAGGCTGTGAAGCGCGCCGTGGACGCGGCTGCAGCTGATGCAGAGGCCGTACTCACGGCAAAAGTGCTAACAGCGGAGGAGGAAGATGTAGTGCCTGCCACCGCGGCCCTCACGGCCCAAGAATCATCCGCGGCAGAGGTGGTGGTGACGGTGTCGGCAACGACGACGGCGGCGGCGGCGGCGGCGGCTGACCTCCCGGCTCAAGTTCTCTCTAGGGAGGAGCATCAGGGCGCGATTAATATTCAGGGCCTTGGCCCTAACCAGAGTGCGTTGCAGCGTCAGCAAATCATTTATCAAGCACTTCGCGACTATTTTTACATCCTACGTCACAACGTCTTGGAGGTGGAAAGCGACCCTGGCCGCGGGCTCGTGTTGTTGTCCTACGCCTGGGAGCTTCTCTGTGCGGCGGCAACGGCGGTACTACGGGAGGAACACCCTTTAACCGATGGAATGGTCTGCGTGGACGCCCCCAGCAGCACGTGTGCTGGCACCCGCGTTCCGCTGCGCCTTGCTCTTCCTGACGATATCAGGTTGATGGAGAATTACATTCAGGAAACTGCGCAGCGGCTGAAGAGGAATTTGTTGCCCAGCAGCACACTTAGAGGCCTGGGCTCCGCGCCGCTGGGGTTCTCCAGCGAGAACACACAAGGGCTGGAGGCCTCTTTTGATTCTATTGCGCCACCTCCGATGAGCCCGCAAAAGTCGACGTACCCCAGCGCACACACACTGTTGTTCCAACGCACCGTGTCGCTCATTCGTGCGGCGGCCACCGAGGAGCTTATGCTCGGTGACACAAACGAGCAAGACAACGTCATGGAGGAGGAGGAGGCACGACCCGACGGGCAACACGTTCGGCAGCAGCACATGTACGAACAGGCCATGGCCATTCTGCGTCTGATTCTGCAGCAAGTTGTCGTTCGTCGCCAGTCTTCCCTTCATGGCGTTTGTCCTCCCTGTGGAATCGACGCAGAGGAGGGCAACACGGTGCAGGTACTGACCGTGCCATTGTTCCCCATTAAGGATGAGGCCGACCAACGTACGGTGCAGGCTCTCTTGCACACGGTGGAAAAGCATTACCGTCGCCTTGTGAACGTCAAGTAGACGGCCAAATGGGAGAGAATCCACGGCCGAAAGAAATCGGTTTCCGAGGAAGCGGTGAAGCAAAGCTGGGGATGAAAAAGCTGCTTGTGTGTGAGTGTGTGTGGTTGCTTGTTTGGGGGGCGTGGATGGACGATTTGCCTACTATTGCGTTTTTTTTGTTCTAGTGTTCTTGGAAAATGGGCTTTCGGCATGGGCGCTGCGCCACTACCGCCACCACCGCCCGTGGTACCCGTTCTTGCTTGTCGGTCAAAGTCAGGAAAAAGGAAGTTCCATTGCGTTCCATGCTGCTTTTCTTGTTCTTTCTTTCCCTCTTTTTTTTTGTTCCTTTTCATTTCTAGTTTTTGCTTTGTGTGCAAATGTGAATTATTTGCCTTTGCTTTTTTTTTCTCTTATTTTTCAATGCCTTCGCAACTGTGCGTCTGGCCGCCCTCGTGCGTGGGGTTTGGCTGCCTCTTCCTCGCTTAACCTGCCTGCGTGTGTGTCTGCCTCCACTGACGCCTGTACCCCATTCCACAGGAGGAATTTTTGCCGTTTTGCAGAATTAGGATCCGCGAAACAAAAGAAGAAGAAGAAGAAAAAGGTTCTGCTTGCGCCTTTGTTGCTTTGGCGTTTGCTCCCGTCCCACACCTTTACGACGCGGCTGCAGCCTCTGCGACGCCGCCCAACTGAGTGGTCTTCTCGGCGCGTGCCCGCGTGTTCCTCCGGCTGCTTCGCGGCGGCGACGGACGCCGATGGAGGAGGGGCTGCGGAGGCTGCGCCTGGAGCGTGGCCAGGCCCTGCTGGAGTTCTACCGCCTGAAGGACGTCGACCGCAGCTCGGCGGAGACGGCGCGACTGCAGCAGCGCGGACGCCTGCTCTTCCAAGAGCGGCTACGCGCGGCAGAGGAGCAGAAGACGCGGTCGGACTCAGGGCGCTGCGCAGACACGGCGCAAGAGCAAAGCAGCTGTGCGGCAAACGAAGCCAGCGCGGGCCCCGAGGCAGCGTATGACCTCCCGTTCGTTTTGCCGCAGCCGACGGAACTGGCCTCGGAGGAACGTGCGGAGGGAGGGGGCGTTTCCACTCCACACGTCGCTGCGACCGCCATCATTGATCACGCACTGCCGGAGTCTGTTCACGAGCAGCACGCACGTGATGCCTGGCAGATCGAGGCACTAACGCAGGAAAGCCTCCTGCTGCACGAGACGATTGAACAGCAGCGGGAGGCGCTGGAGCGGCTCACGACGGAGTTAGCACAGCGTGACATGCAAATGCGCCGCAGCTCTGTGGAGGCAGCAAGCAAGCAGCGTCCACCAGGCGACGCCGACGCACGTGCAGGGGCTGAGAAAAGCCTTGACGACGTGAAAACACAATACAACGCTCCGCATACACATGAACAGGCTCACCTGAGCCACGATCCCTTAGGAACTTCGGAGGCACTTGTCCGCGCCGAGTCGCTGCTTGCGTGCAAAGATAATGAGATACAAGAGCTGCAGTTAAAACTAAAGGAGGAAATAATCAAGTGCAGCAACCTTGAGGACGAAAACGGGGCCCTCATAAAAAGCAAAGAGGCACTCCAGAGGGAGGTGACCGCAATCACACATAAGGCTAGTGTGATGGAGCAGGAACTAAGGCAAAGTGACGAACAACGAAGCCTCGGAGAAGACACCATAAAGTGCCTTGAACAACAGCTGAGAGATCTACAATATAGCCACGACACATGCAACAAAATACAACACTACCAAGATATGGAAGAAGAGCTCGCCCGCCTGTCGCAGCAGTGTGCCGACGCTGAACGCGGCCGTGAGGCGGCGGAGGCCGCCCTGCAGCGCACGGAGGCCGAGCTCAAGGCAGCGAACGCCAAGCTGCAGGAAGAGTTGCGTCAGCTGCAGGAAGAGTTGCGCCAGCTCCAGGAGAGCCGCGAGGAGGAGTTGGAGGACGCGCTTCTCGAGGCAAATAAGCGCATTGCGGAGCACGATGAGCTGCTCCAGCAGAAGCTTGAGGAGCAGGAGGAGTATTACGAGAAATTGCTTGAGGAAAGGTCGCGGTTGGGGCCTGTGCCGGTGGCTGGGGCTGAGTTGGGCGGTGCGTCGCATAGGGAGCCCGAGCACGACAAAAGTGGGGAGAAAGCGAAGCCTGCTGAGCAGCCGCGCCGTGTAGCTGCCGCGTCCAAAAACCCCTTTGCCAGCATGGGCGTGCCGTCGCAGGAGCCGGGTGC